GAAAAACTTTAGTTAACTGAAATTTCTAGAACATAAGGCTTTGGTTCAATGTATTGCCAACTATCGGCATAACATTTTCATTCTTCTTCCCAAATAGTACACGGTACTATATACATTTTCCTTTAAACAAGAGGAATGTAATAGATTTGGTTCCTATATGACAACGCAGCCACTCATTTATGTACTTCGATATCCAATACGAGGGCTGTCTTTTAAGTTTTGCATACCATGCATTAGAGAGCGTTACAAATCAAACGGCTCTAATAAAAATAAACTGTCGTCTTTAGTTAACCTCTCTTCCAAGTTTCAGTCCGATTCATAGAGTGTTGTAGTTACATCGAATTTTCAAAGTTGACAAGTTATTCAAGAAATGGATTTAAACCGAGAACATTTTCGTGCCATAATTTTTACAACTTTCGAAGACAATTATCTCAACAAGAATGCCTCGCCGAGTTGGTTTCTGTTTTCGGTAGTGATGCACCACAACAATCGATAATTTCTCGTTGGTATGGAGAATTTACACGAGGACGGGTTAATCTTAGTGACGAGCCAAGAACAGGTGCACCTAAATCGGTAGTCACCCAGGAAACCATTGTTGCTGTATGCAGGCTCATCAAGGAAGATCGGCAAATCGGCATGTGACATATTGCGAGATTGAAGCATTAGAGATTTCAAAGACCTCAATCCAAAAGATTTGTCATGAAGAATTAGCAGTAAAAAAATAGTGTCCTGTTGGATACCGCATCTGTTGACCGAAGAACAAAAAGAGGCTAGGGTAAATTGGTGTCAAAAAACTATGGAGCGTTTCAATGCTGGAAACTCTAAAAACGTGTACTGCATCGCAAGTGGTGATGAATCATGGATTTACTCATATGAACCTGAAAATAAACGCAAATCGTCTGTTTGGGTTTTCCAAGGTAAAGACAAGCCGACAAAAGTGATCAGTTCGAAGTGTGTCTAAAAAGATGGTCGCAACATTTGTCTCAAAAGCAGGTCATGTTGCAACAATTCCTCTGCAAGAGCAAAGAACTGTTACTGCCGATTGGTATATAATGATTTGTTTGCCAGCAGTCATCGCTAAGCTTCGGGAAACCAACCCCAAACGACGAATCATCCTCCATCAAGACAATGCAAGTGCGCACACAGCTCGCAAAACAATTGCCTTTTTAAAGCAACAAAACGTCGAGTTGTTAGACCACCCTGCTTACAGTCAAAACTTAAGTCCCAAAGATTTATTTACCTTTCCGAAAATCAAGAACGCTCTGCGTGGGCAACGGTTCCAGTCGCTAGAAGATGCAGTTGAGGCATTCAAAACAGCCATTGGAGCTGTGACACCCCAGGAGTGGAATAACTGCTTTCAGAGTTGGTTCGAGCGCATGCAAAAGTGCATTAATCTTCGTGGAGAATACTTTGAAGAACAATAAAATGTTTAAACACTATCTGCTGTTTTATTCTAGGTCTATATGCAAAACTTAAAAGACAGCCATCTTAGGAGGTTTATTTTTGGTCTGCTTCCTTCTTCATAAATTTAAAAACAGAATGGTTAATTTCACAAACTTGAGCGTACATATCGGCACTTATATTTGAAATATCTAAAAATGGACAACTTCGAATAAGTATAATTTATTCAGATCTAAGTGATCAGTGATCACCTCGAAAAAACCGAAACAAACTGAGCTCCGCTCTTCTATTAACTGTTTACATGATCTTGGCGGCCGTAACTAACAAGTGGACAGTTACATAGTTATCGAATGATATTATTTAAGGAACAATTTTATTTCCTTGAGTGTCTGAGAGAAGATTATACAGATTATATAGTATATATAGATTATATTGTAGTATGACCTTCAAATGGTGGTACAATAAGTCGCAGGTTGCAGTGCCGCTAGGCTACAGACGGATTAGGGCAAAACTAAAACAAAAAAAACAAAAAACAATAAAACAAAAAAAAAACAAAAAACAAACAAAAAAGAAACAAAAGAACAAAAAAAAACAAAAAAAAAAACAAAAAAAAATGATAATTTTTCCTCTGGGGGCATAGTTTTATATAACTATCTAATAAAAAAACTTATAAACAAATGAACATCTTAAAATACTCAAATTTTGGGCATAGTCCAAGCATCTGGGGAATACTTTATAAGATGTTGTTTTTTACTTTGAGAAAATAAATAGTCGGCAGTATTTTTTTAGTCTTAGACAGCCCATTTGTGGTATATTTATAAATATATCTTATTTAATAAAAAAAAGCTTTCATCGTTAACCAGATGGGTGAAGGTCGACCTTACTTCGGATCTTAGACTACTAATGATATAAGGGACAAACAATTTAAAAATGTTCAAATATAAACTAAAGAAATTATTGATGATCCTAATTGTTCATATTACTAGACTTTAAATTCGACTTACCTTGTCTAAATGAACGTAAAAAGATTAAACCGTTATAGATTGCTGATATAAGCCTTTGAAACTATTATAGTTTGAAGTTTGACGGTATTTGTTGTCAAAATTCTGTCTCGCGGATTCTTGTATTTATCATTTAATTTCTATTAACAATAGACAGGAGCATAGAAATGTATTCGTAGTACCTAAGTTGTACAAAAATTGACTAGTTTTGACTTAACCTGGTTTGTTACAATTATATAAATTCAACTGAAAGAAATCTTTGTTGCGTTACTAGTTCGTTTGTATGTTTTGTTCCTTAACTCGAGAGCATTAAAGTAACGAGCCAATTTCAACGAGTTTGTTTACTTCTTTTTCTAATTAATTAATCATTTTTGTTAATGTTATTAGGCATTCCAAACTGAATGGCTACCAGTGGGTTTTGACGGGTTATGATATAGCAAAATTATGGCAACCCTGTAGGCCTGGTGATTTGACAAGGTCAATGAAATAGATAGTTACATAGATTGATCATCCATATTTTTCAAAATAAACATAAGCTTATGCCTTGAAGTAAAAATTTAAGCAATTATTTTTTTTAATGTCTAAAGGCTAAAAATTAGTTTTAAAACACATTTTTTCTAAACCGATTCAAATTAATAAATATTTGCCAGGCAATATGGCCGCTCGTAAATGACCAGCTTTGAGCAATCTATATAACTATATATGTATCATTGACCCTGTTAATGACAACATGACAACAGGGTTGCCATATCTAAACTGTCATTACCCACTGGTAGCCCATACTTTTCTTTTACTATACGGAGAATAGTCGCACTGCGCAGCTTTCTGAGTGCCTTTTAAAAGGAGATAGAAAACTCCGCCATTTTGAACCCTTATTACGTGTTGCCTACATCTTGGCGCAATATTTTTAATAGGTGCGTTTTAATCATCCGCTTCTGCTTCGGAATTGTCAGTTTTCTTGTTTTAATCTGACAGGTTAGAACGACTGAACTCAATTTTAGGCAGTTCCCCTCACTGGAAGTTGCTTAGTACATGTGGTACGTTACAATGCTCAAAAGTTTCTGACCATACGTTAGTTCGTAAGTATCTGACTTCGTATATGTATTCGTATACACCTTTGAAAAATAAATGTATTAATATTATTATTATTAATTATTATTATTATTATATTATTATTATTATTATTATTATTATTATTATTATTATTATTATTATTATTATTATTATTATTATTATTATTATTATTATTATTATTATTATTATTATTATTATTATTATTATTATTATTATTATTATTATTATTATTATTATTATTATTATTATTATTATTATTATTATTAATTATTATTATTATTATTATTATTATTATTATTATTATTATTATTATTATTATTATTATTATTATTATTATTATTATTATTATTATTATTATTATTATTATTATTATTATTTTGATTTTTCTCAGCTATTTGCCGGTTGCAATAGGCATAGTTAAAGAAGAAATTCATCTTATTCCAACACGCCCAAAAATTTCCTCACTATATGGCAGGTCTGTAGGATGGCTGCTTTTTGTAGATGTGCTATAATGGGAGGTATATTTAGTTTTTCTAGTTGTTTTGAAAGGTTAATGGAGACAATTCCTGTAACGGAAACTACTATTGGGATTATTTGTACCCTCTTCATGCCCCAAACATGTTTTATTTATTATTATTATTATTATTATTATTATTATTATTATTATTATTATTATTATTATTATTATTATTATTATTATTATTATTATTATTATTATTATTATTATTATTATTATTATTATTATTATTATTATTATTATTATTATTATTATTATTATTATTATTATTATTATTATTATTATTATTATTATTATTATTATTATTATTATTATTATTATTATTATTATTATTATTATTATTATTATTATTATTATTATTATTATTATTATTATTATTATTATTATTATTATTATTATTATTATTATTATTATTATTATTATTATTATTATTATTATTATTATTATTATTATTATTATTATTATTATTATTATTATTATTATTATTATTATTATTATTATTATTATTATTATTATTATTATTATTATTATTATTATTATTATTATTATTATTATTATTATTATTATTATTATTATTATTATTATTATTATTATTATTATTATTATTATTATTATTATTATTATTATTATTATTATTATTATTATTATTATTATTATTATTATTATTAATATTATTATTATTATCATATTATTATTATAATTGTTTTACCTGTCTGTGATTACCTACGTTAAGTTTAAGTGTTTTTAAAAAGTTTTAATTGGTAAAAATTGGTGCATTCTACTCAGTAAAGTGCATTTCATTACTGGTATTGTTGGCAAGTAGAAAGGCTTAGTTACTAAATTTTTATCTATGTACACACGTGGTTATTATTCGAATTGTTGGTTAAAAATAGTCGATATCTCTGTTAATTGACTAGTTTTTGTTTATTCTGCTGGAAACCTATTCCACCAGCGGTAAGTTCAATTTATTGAATTGTCGAAAAATATATTTTTAATTCGCATAAAATATGCCTGATAGAGTCAAATCAGGACAAAACTGTGCCAGGTGCAAAAACCCTTGCAAAACGGGATTAAAATGCATTAAATGTGGAGTACTTTCACATAATAGCTGTTTGGAAAAGATCAGAAATGTCCAAATGCTCAACGATGGATCAGTCATATGTTGTGCTGCTACCTTACTAAATGGTTCCCAGAAAGTAGCAGAACAACTCCCTGCTGCCGTAATAGAACCGGGTAGTGATGCGGACAAAATAACTATCAAATTCTTAGAGAAGTTAAATTTACAGAAAGATCTAACTATTAAAAATCAAGAGATCGCAATAAATGCACTGATGGAACAGGTCTCCTTACTTAAACAAAGAACAGAAGAACTTCTTAATTTGGGTACAGTTTCGCCCACTACAGCGCATGACGGAAACTGTGAGCAAAAGCAAACTGGCTTGCAAAGGCACATAACTAACAAAGATGCGTCCTTAGCTATAATGACAGCGCAAACAAGGAACACCTGCGGAGGTGTAATTAATCTGAATAACGATGTAAATCCACATCGTAGAAATAACTCAAGAAGAATTCTAACGGGGAAAAAAGAATCGTTGGAAAATTGTCCGTTTAAAGCTGCAGTAAACAACGCCCAGTCACACTATCATGTTACTAACATGGGCCCCGACACTGATCAATCTGAACTGCAAGTATACCTAAAAGGGTTCGCCCCAAATGTGCAAGTCGTTAAAATGAATGCCAGAAGACCGGATCTCTATGCATCATTTAAAATATCAGTGCCAAGAAATGAAGCTGAGCCCATCTTAAATTGTGAAATATGGCCCACTGACGTTATCGTTAATGAGTTTTTTCCACCAAAGCGTTCCTCTGAACATTACCGACAACGCAGAGGTGACGCATCCACCAAGTGAAATATGTATTTCTGACTTCCAGCACTCACTGTTTCACATCAATGTCCAAAGTATGAACTTCAGGTAATCCTCAATGAAAAACCATTCAACATTTTATGCATATCCGAACACTGGCTAGATTTAAATATTTTGAAATCAATTAAGTTGCATAATTATAGATTAGTTTCTTCCTTCTGTCGAAAATCCCGTAAGTTACATGGAGGGGTAGCCATTTTTGCCCGAGAATTTGTAGAGATTAAAGAGATTAATGTATCTAAATTTTGTAAAGCTATAGACGCAGAGTTCTGTGCCGCCGAATACGGAAAAAATACTGCGATTGTAACCTTGTACAGATCTTCAAGTAAAGGTAACGTCTCAGTATTTATAGAGAAACTAACAGATATAATTGAGGAACTTCTACACACATATAAAACACTTATCATCATGGGTGACATTAATATTGACATTGATGGGAGTACAGAGACTGCTGGAGATCTCCGTAACATGTTCCATAGTTACGGTCTTAAACATTTGGTTCATACACCTACGAGAATCACAATGACAACAAAATCATGTCTAGATAATATAATAACAAATATCAGTCAAAATAACATGATCTCTGGCGTTTATGAACCATTAATATCTGATCATTCCGGCACTTATATTCTGTTCAACCCCAAACCTCCTGCAAAAAACGTCTCATATAAGAAAAGAATTATTAATAATAATAGTTTAATACATTTTGCAGGACATTTGGATAAAATTCGTTGGTCTGATTATGATTTAAATAATGAAAATTCTGGTTCGTCTGCGAATATTATATTAGATATCATACAGTCAGGGGTAAATGTATGTTTTCCATTGAAATCTGTTTCTCATAAAAAAAGAGGGTTGAAGTGGTTCTCAAGTGAATTAAAATTATTACGACAGGAAGTTCATTCTTGTAAGAATAAGTTTAGGAATTCTAACTCACCGCAAGACTGGTACACTTATTCGGAAACAAGAAAGCGATACAAAAAAGCACTCAAACAAGCAAAGCGAAATTCTTACGAGGAGTTTATCTATACGTCAAGCAATAAAAATAAAGCTATTTGGAAAGTCGTAAATGAGGAGAGACACGGGAAAAAGAAACAGGCACATCACACAACCTTAGATACAAACCAGTTTAACACTTTCTTTTCAACTGTAGCAGATGTCATTCTACAGAGCCTTAATATGTGCGATACTGATCCTATGTCTTACCTCAGTACTTTGCCACGACCTGCTTCGTCCTTTTTCATGGCTCCGATTATTGAGTCCGACGTAAAAGAAGCAATACTTTCTTTAAAAAATAAACACTGCGTCGATCACTACGGCGTTAATAGTGCAATGTTAAAAGTCGCGGTAAATTCACTTACGAAACCACTAACCATATTATTTAACAAATGCATAGCCGAAGGCAAGTGGCCAGATGATCTTAAAATCTCTAAAATAATCCCAATACACAAAAAGGGTGATACGGACACTCTGAACAACTACAGGCCTATTGCGATCGTTCCTACAATTTCGAAAATTTTTGAAAAAATCTTGAAGGGAAAATTGGTTTCTTATTTAGACAGAAAGTCGCTTATTAATACTGCACAATTTGGTTTTCAGAAGAATAAATCTACAGCGCAAGCATTACTGAAGGTACTGGACTACATAGTCGAGGGCATTGAGCAAGGAGTCGCAACACATGTTACAATGTGTGACTTGACTAAGGCCTTCGACTGTGTAAATTTAGAAATATTAATCAATAAGCTTGAGTTTTATGGGATACGAGGCGGTATTCTGCAGTTGTTCAGAGATTATTTAGAAAACCGCTCGCAATATGTAGTTTTAAATAACGTTTCTTCGAGTATTGTCAATATCAGTAACGGTGTTCCTCAAGGATCTATTCTTGGACCCATTCTTTTTCTGATATATATCAACGACTTGCCATCGGCGATGCACGAACTGTCGAGGTGTATACTATTCGCAGACGATACCAATTTCTTAACCAGGGATTGTGAGATGTCCAGTAGAGTAAATCTCGAAATGGCCAAAACTTGGTTTACATCCAATAAATTATTGCTCAACAATAGTAAAACTCAAATAATCACCTTTACCTCAGATAGAATGGTAAAAAAATCAGAACCGGCCAAAATGTTGGGCATCACTTTTGATAGCGGTTTGAATTGGTTTAACCATATCGAGAATCTCTGCTCGAAGCTCTCGATCCAGATATATGTTATGAGACAGCTGCGTATGAGCATCACTAGTAATGACGCCATGAGAACGGCATATTATGCGTTAATCCAGAGCCACATTGCATATGGACTGGTCTTGTGGGGTAGCGCCACTGCAGCTGGTAAAGTCTTTATTTTACAGAAGACTGCCTTACGCATTGTTGATGCTGCTCAACACCGTTCTCATTGCCGAGAACTCTTTGTAAAATATAAAATACTAACTGTACCATGTTTATATATTCTTCAAACAGCTATAGAAATCCACAAAAATATAGAAAACATTCCTACTCACAATAACACCCATGAGTACAATACAAGGGGATCTGAACTACTGGTGGTGCCGTACTCACGCATCTGTCTCACGAAAAATAATAAACCAAACATAAACATATATAATAAGTTAGTGGTTATTTTTAAAGATCATAATTTTAAAAATATGCTAGACAATAAGTTTAAAAATATTATCAAAACATTTTTACTAGAAAATAGTTTTTACAGTGTTGATGAATTTTTACAATTTTAATTTTAATCTTGTGACGTGGTTATTTATAATCGTAGATATTAGATTTTATGTATATATTTATTTCTTTTCACTATTTGTCCCTAATTATTAGATCGTCTTATTTGACAATGTTTATATTTTTTATTATTTTAATATTTGACTGTTTTTATTTATATCTACTATTAGAGAGTGTTAACATATGTTTTTCATAATTTTTTTATTTTTTTTTTTTCACTGTACTCTGGTAATATTAATTTATATCATTTTATATGTTTTTTATACGTATGTACATTTATATATCTATTTTTCATATTCTTGTGTATGACTTCAATGTACCACCTATTGTATGAAAGAGGTCAATAAACGTCTATTCTATTCTATTCTATTATTATTAAAAGAGGAAAAAGAGGAAAAACGCAAAGCATATGCAAATATTATTGAAAATTCCGAAAATAAAAGTAAAGCCGTTTGGAGTTTAGTCAAGAAGGAAATTCCTACAAAAAGTAACCTTACTTCCTTGTGTCCTGAAGAACTTAATAATTTTTTTACTAATATAGCAGATATCAATTGAATTAGGAAATATTAATGTCAGTCCCCAATATTTATCTAAATTACCTAGGCCACCAACTTCCTTCTTTATGGCACCAGTTATTGTGTCGGATATTAAAGAAGCTATATTGACACTTAAAAACTCAAATTGCCTTGATTATTATGGTCTAAACAGTCAAATGATGAAAGCTTCACTTGCAACACTCACTGAACCACTAGCGATCCTTTTCAATAAATGTGTGGTCGAAGGATATTGGCCAGATGCCTTAAAAATTTCAAAAGTTCTGCCAATTTTTAAAAAAGGAGATCCGGATATTCCTGACAACTTCAAACCTATTGCCATAGTGCCAATTATTTCAAAAATATTTGAAATCTTAATAAAAGGAAAATTATTATCCTATTTTGAAAATAAATCGTTATTTACAATGGCTCAATTCGGTTTTCGTAAAAAATGCTCAACGATGAAAGCCTTAATTGCAGTTATTGACAACATAGTTGAGGGTCTTGATGATGGTCATCCTACACACGCAGCAATGTGCGACCTCACCAAGGCCTTTGATTGTGTTAACGTCGAAACGCTACTCTTAAAATTGGAACACTATGGCATAAGGGGAAGTATCCTAGAACTTATTAAATCCTACTTATCAGGGCGGACACAGCTTGTAAGCCTTAACGATAAGGACTCAAAGTTGCTTTCTATCAAAAACGGGGTCCCGCAAGGCTCCGTACTTGGGCCGGTTTTATTTCTAGTCTATGTCAACGACCTCCCATTATCGTTGGGTAATACAGGATGTGTTCTCTTCGCAGATGATACTACCCTTTTGTCAAGAGATGGTGAATATCTTAGAGGAGAAATGCTCAAAACAGCGAAAACTTGGTTTAGTTGTAACAACCTAAAACTAAACGAGTCAAAAACACAGAACATAGTATTTAGTTCAGATAAATGGTTATCAAAATCAGAACCAGCAAAATTACTTGGTATAACTCTAGATACAAGTTTAAACTGGTCTAATCATATTGACAGCTTATGTGGAAGACTCTCCTCTCAGATATTTGCCATGCGTCAGCTAAGGACCTCTCTTGATAATAAAACAATTAGAACCGTTTATTACGCAATGGTCCATAGTGTTATGTCATACGGCATCCTTCTTTGGGGAAATGCACCCAACTCGTACAAGGTCTTTAATTTACAGAAGGCTGCTGTCAGGACTATTGATATGGTACCATATGATGCGCATTGTGGACCACTGTTCCATAAGTACAGGATTCTGCCCTTACCTTGTGTTTATGTCTTAGAATCACTGGTCTTCATTCACAAAAATATTCAGAATTTAAAAACGCACTCAGACATTCATTCATATAATACAAGGAATGGACAGAACCTAATTGTACCGTTCTCAAGGATAAGATCAACCCAGGTCAATAAGATAGACCTTAATCTATACAATACATTTATTAGTATACATAATGACAACACTATAAAATCAATGAGCATTAACTCATTTAAAAAATTAGCAAAAAACTTTTTACTAAAACATTGTTTTTATAGTGTTAATGATTTTAAAAATTTTATAATGTAACATTATGGTTTAATATTTATGCCATATTTTTGTATTTCAACTTTTTTATATTTAAATCGTCTTTTTATGTTTTAACTTTTATATTTTAAATTTTATATTTTAACTTTTGTATTTTAACATTTTATGTCACATCTTATATAATTTATCTTTTAATGTGTTAACCTCTTATATAAATTTACTATGGTACTTTATTCATTTGTATGGCAAAAACGTATGTATATATGTAGAATGTCAATAAAACTCTATTCTATTCTATTCTATTATTATTATTATTATTATTATTATTATTATTATTATTATTATTATTATTATTATTATTATTATTATTATTATTATTATTATTATTATTATTATTATTATTATTATTATTATTATTATTATTATTATTATTATTATTATTATTATTATTATTATTATTATTATTATTATTATTATTATTATTATTATTATTATTATTATTATTATTATTAATATTATTATTATTATTATTATTATTATTATTATTATTATTATTATTATTATTATTATTATTATTATTATTATTATTATTATTATTATTATTATTATTATTATTATTATTATTATTATTATTATTATTATTATTATTATTAATATTATTATTATTATTATTTTCTTTACTCACCTCCATCTTTTACTTGGTTACCTTCTTCCCCTTTCTTCTATGTGATTCGGTCTGTCAAATAATGTCATTAATTCTATATATTTTGTTCTTATAGTTGTCTTAAGATTTGATAGTCTTCATGTTTTGTAAAACAATAAGGTACAACTTTATAGCCGTCATTGACTGGTTTATTATCTCTTTCGCGAATCAGAAGTATCTACTCACAAAAAGTTACATAATAATGCGCTGTGTAACACTTAATGGCCGACCTATAACATTATCGAACTACGTTTCCGCGTCGGACTTTTGTGTTCCACTTCGTGGATTCGAAGATTATGTTATATTGGATCTATTCATTGTATCTATCTTTCAGTAGCTATTATTATGCTCTTTGTGGATGATGGAGTTTTCGATTTGGCGACCTATTTTCAACAAGATTATGTATGCACATTAGCGTTGAGGAAGTATAAGAACCAATAAAACAT